ATAATTTTTGTTCCCCTTCACCCATAGATGTTTTTTGCCAAAATTGGTTGAGCGGTTGCAGAGAAGCTGATATGTTCAAATGTTAACCCAAGCCGCACCACGGACGAAAACGGATAATAGGTCACTCGGGTTTACTCAAGTCACCTGAGTCTAAAAATACATCCACATGTACTTGTTTCGGAAATATTTGTTTTAAATCTATTTAGTATAAAAATAATAAGTGTTATTTTACTATGGTATTTCTACATCGAAGATGGATTCTAAATGATATTGACTGATCAAATTAAAAAATAACTCTTAAAACAATAATCAAAAGAAATTCTTTTTGCTCTTAATTTTTTTTCTTTTAATAATTTTTTTTTAAAAATATCATTATAATACCTTAAAACTTTTTTAAGTGAGACATGATAATAAGTTTTTGGTACTTACATTCAGCGGTTAGAGATACACGACTGTCTCCCAATGAGGCCGCCTCGTGTGAATATCTTTATTTATATATCTCTATTACAAGTGTATTGATTTCGTATTTTGTATTTTAATAGAAGGAAAAAACTTTCAAAGCAAGGTAAGGTTTAAAGATTATTTTTTTTAAAATTTGTTTTCAAATAAAGCTTAATATGTATAGTTACATACGCGTTGAGGATAGGTAAAAAAATTTATTACAACACCAATTCATCTCATGTTACTGACTTATTGTGTCAGAATAAAAAAAAAATATATCATGTCTGTGAAAAAGCAAAATTAATTTTGGAAAAAAAGATGATTTTATGGAGAATTGGGGTCAACAAACTAACTATTAAATACTAGCATAACTTATTTCCCGTAGATATGATATCTTAAGCTGTCAACTATCATTTGGCAAAGAAAAAAAATCATACATTTTAGTTCTCAATTTGATCATTTTTTTAATATCTATATATATGAAATTCTTTTTCTAAAAGAGATCAATATAATATATAATTTAACAATAGCAACAACCACCCAGCCCTCTTAACCTACCTGCCGGACATCATTCGGAAAATGTATCAAAATTTAGGAGCACTGCTCAATGCATGCTAAAATATAATTCTTGTGTCAGTTTGTTTGTTTGTATGTTGAGCGTTCCTTAGAGGATTTATTTATATTTTTATACTTAATCACCACCTCTTGCTCACCTGCTTCGAGAAGGGGCCTTACTTTTTACGAGAGGCCTCTTTGTACACCCCACAGTGGGATCAGAAGCCGCAAATTAAGGAATAACTCTTTACCTCCATAGCAAACGCTCTAACCACTGCCCACGCGAGCAATCTTTATCATATATTTACATCCACTGAATATTTTCTCCTTTATTTCTTAAGAAAACCATTGCATTAATCACTGCATGAACTACATTAGGCATGTCGCCTGTACAGATTTCTTGATCAGTGGCTGTTCCATCAATGAAACGTATAAAGACGTTCGCATCATTAATACAATAATTAATCTTTTTAATCCTACTTAAAATGATTATTTAAACAGATATAAATATAAACAATAAAATGGCTTTCTTTGTTTGTTATTACTGGAATTAACGGAAGCAGCTGTTGCAGAAAAAATACATAACCCGCGTAAGCAGTAGCTGCGACCGTTAATTCCAGTAATAACAAACAAAGAAAGCATTGTATTGTTTAAATATATAACCGTAAAACACAGACACCTGGCGTTACTTATTTTTCTTTTGAAAAAAAGATATATCCCCTATCTGTTAATTGTTAGGTAGGGGGTATATATTCTGTATTATTAAAAAGAAAAATAAGTAACGTCAGGTGCCCGCATGTGCCTTAAAATTTACGTTACTTTTCTTGTCTTATAATCTATAGAATAGATAAATCTTTGCTTTAAAAACGTGAAGTCTTCTCAATTATATGTATGGATTAAAAAAAACTAATTTGCAATAATATAGCTAGTTCTAAGTCTTTCACACAAAATTCAAGCCATAAATAAAAGTTTGACTCAAAAAAGATTTAATGAAATTCATGCGTTGTGTAGATGTAATTATGACGTGATGCGCTGAGAAAAAAAAAATAGATTTCCTTTAAAATGGGCTATACAGAATTACTGAAAATGGAATCCTATATAGAAAATTAATAAAAACGCCGGAAAAAAATACAAAATTATTCAAGGTTATTACGGAAGAAATACAATGAAAAATTTAACAAAAAATTTAAAGAATTGCGGTCCCCCTCTTTCTGTGATTTTGTGGGTGAGATGTCATTGTTGTATGGCATATTGTGTCAAAAATGAATGCTCTTTCACGTGTCATTCAGCGTCGGAAGCAAATTGAAATTGGGAGGGGGGGGGGGGGGGCTAAACCAACAAAAAAAGGTAAACCCCAATTTCCAATGCCTATATAATATATATCTTTGCAAAAAAAAGGAGGGGGGAAGTGACTCCCCAGCCCCCCGGTTCTGACGCCTATGCAGAAGTTATCACCGAAGTTGGTTTTTTAAAAAAATACGTTTATTGTGTAGATCAAGGTCAAGGTGTCAACTAGAAATCATAACATGCACTTAAATATCTCTTAACAGAAAATGCACATGTCAATCATGAGAGTCCTTTCTCTTCTCAATCAAAAACCGTCAAGGAAAATTATAACATTTTTGAAAATTAGGTCAAACGTCAAGGTCAAGGTCACAAAATAAAAAAAAAATCATTGTATATTTAGAAAGTTTGGGAAAAGTAGATCAAACTTCAAGGTCAAAGTTACGATGTCAAAAATCATAGTTTATTTAGAAAGGTCTTGTCACAGATAATAAACGTCTTTAATATGAAAACGATATCTCTTCTAATTCAAAAGTTATGGCCAATACTTTAAGTCCCTTTATTTTTTTTTAAAAATAAGTCAAATTTCAAGATCAAGGTAACGGGGTAAAAAAATATATAGTGTATATAGAAAGGTCTTACCACAGGCAAAACACAGGCCTAATATGGATTCCTTATCTCCTCATTCAAACGCCATGAACAAGGTTAAAGTTTTTGAAAAGTAGGACGAACTTCAAGGTCAAAGTTCCGAGGTCAAAATCATAGTGTATTTAAAAACGTCTTGCCACAGGTAATGCACATTCAATATGAAAGCTCTATCTCTTCTCATTCAAAAGTCATGGCCAATTTATTGAATTCAATGTCATGTTTATTTTTTTAAGTAGGTCAAACTTCAAGGTCAAGGTAACGTGGTAAAAAATTATAGTATATTTAGAAAGGTCTTGTCACAGGTAATATACATGTATATAATGAAAGCTCTATCTCTTCTCATTCAAAAGATATGACCAAGGTTAAAGTTTTTTGTGACAGACAAACAGAACTACAGACTGACAGACGAATGAGATTTAATATGTCCCTTGCTTTTACGAAAGCGGGGGACAATGATAAGCTGCATTTACTTATTTGGCCGTGCAACATGATTTAGTAGGCCAAGCTAGATGTTTTTTCATAGGCATATCCATCTTCATTGATAAACAAGCAAATTCAAAGAATTGTGGTCCTCCCCTTTCAGTGCCTTTGATGGTGAGTTGTTATTTTTATGACATATTGTGTCAAATATGAGTAAACGCCATATCATTTGTCATTTAGAAACTATCACCGAAGCTGATTTTTTTAAAATAAGGTTAATAGTGAAGGTCAAGGGGTCAGAAATCAAAATCATATAATGCTCGGGAATATCTTTTCACAGGTATAACGCACTTGTCAAATATGAATTCCCTATCTTTTCTCATTCAAAAATTATAAGGAAAAATTAACAGTTTTGAAAAGTATGACCAACTTCAAGGTCAATGTCACAAGATCATTTAGAAAGGCTTTGTCAGAGGTACATGTATTATCCATGTGTAATACCGGTATAAAAGTCCTATCTCTTCTCATGCAAAAATATGACCAAGGTAATTTTTTTTTGGAAAAGTAGGCCAAACTTCAAGGTCAAGGTCACGATGTCAAAACTCATAGTGTATTAAGGAAGGTCTTGTCACAGGTAATGTGCATCTCTAATATGAAAGTCCTATTTCTTCTCATTCAAAAGTCATGGCCAATTCAACGTAATGTTTAATTTAAAAAAAAATAGGTCAAACTTTAAGGTCATGGTCATGGGGTCAAAATCTTAGATAATTAGAAAGGTCTTGTCACAGGTAATATACATGTGTAATATGAAAGTCCTATCTCTTTTCATTCCATATATGACCAAGGTCAAAGTTTTTGTGACGGATGGACAGAGTGACAGACGGACAGACGAATGAGATTTATTGTCCCTCGCTTGCGCGAAAGCTCGGGACAACAAGATGTGTTTGTGAAACACTTATGCCCCCGTATGGCAACATAGCGAAATCAATGTTAAATCCTCCTCACAAAAACAATTGTGAAATATAAAACTCTTGCATCACCTGTTCAAAAGGTATGGCCGAGGTTAACGTTTTATTGAGGTACATGTAGGCAAAACTCCGGGGTGAAGCTCAAAGGGTCAAGGTTGTTTGTTTTTTTTAAAAAATGCCTTGTCACAAAGATCACATTTGGAAAGTATGAAAGCCCTAGCCCTAACCGTTCAAAAGTTATGGCCAAGGTTAAAGTTTTTTTTTTTTTTAAAGTAGGTCAATTTCCAAGGTTAAGAAGGCTTTTCCCCCAAAAAATACATATAGATATGTCATGAGGTCCATTTACAAAATAAGGTTCAATGGTCTTGATCCACCCCTAAACCTTGTGATCCTTTAATTATTTTATTGGGGGGGGGGGCATTGTTTACGCGAGTTATCTTTCTTGCCTTAATGTTCCAACTACAAGGCCTTAAAAACACATTTTGAAACTTTTCAATAACTTTTTGGTGTATAATTCATTTTTAGCACACATTTATCTAAACATTATAAGTTTTTATGTCCATTGTCCACATCTCTGTAGGGCTTTCCTTTCTTTTTTTTTTTTTGAAAAAAGGCTTCAATAACATGTAGGTCTTCAATTAGGTTTAACCCAATTAAGCGCTTTGGAGACTATGATGCAAAAAAGCATGTGTGTGAAACAACATCAGGAAAAAAGAAGTGTTTAGGAAACGATGATGTCAGATTAAAAGCATTTAACAAGTTCACATCACTGATTTGGATGTTACTTAACACAGAATTCAGACGGTTACAACCATTTAGCGTAGATACATGTAATACAAAGTGTTGAAGCCGAAGCTCGAATTTTCTCCTTGTGTAACAGAGACCACGCTGTACATATCCTAATTTAGGACAAAAGACGTTTAGTTTCTGTTGGCTCATAAGAGTAAAAGAAATGTAGACATGAGGACAAAATGACGCATAGCGTTTGTGTTCATGTAGTTGAGAGGGTTAGGAAGGAAATTGTAAAATTATGTATGACAGATGCTTAACGTTATAGATATTTTTTTTTGGGGGGGGGGGGGGGGTTGAAGATAACAATATATTATTTAAACTATGTGACTTTTTATCCAAATCTTTTATTAAGAGAAAAAATCTCATTAAAAATGATAAAAGTAAAAATGTTATAAATTATACATAATTATTCAATTCATGTGTATTTTCTGTTTATTACATTAAAAAAAAGTACTCTTGCATTTTTTTTTGCCTCTGTCTTTTTGTATAAACAGTCATAAGTTCAAAAATGCATGTACATTAATTAATTGCCATTAGCCTCATAGCTAAGTGAGGTGAAAACACTGTAAAAATGGATTTAGCAACATATTTTTGTATATATACATTGAATTCGCTGTCAGAATGGTTTATTTATTTCCATGTTTTATATTAGGTTCAAGGAATATTTTTTTACAGCAATCTTTTGTTTTGTTTTTCCTTTTTTCCCGTCAACTATATATTAGGCACTTTCTCTTGTATCAGTTTGATATCCTTTTACTGTGACAGGATATGGGCACTGAATTAGTAATAAAACATATTTCACTTAAAAATGTAATAAATGTGTTATATTTATCGTTATATTTTGTCTATATATCTTTTTTTATTATTTGTACAAGATGATACCTTGACCTTACTATGACTACGTAATGTCTGTAAATAAATTGTTAAAATTTGCGTATGTTTCAGATACACAGATCTGTACAACATGAAATACTGCAAAGAACTGAACTTCACTCAGATCTGGGTAGATAAAGGACTTAATCCATGCTTCATAGACACTGTCACCTCTGGTGTATTGTTCCTTCACATTCTGATCTGCGGTTGTATTCAGTGCTCACTGTACAGAAAATATGCCACCAAACTCCCGGAGAAGAACCTGACTGGTTCCTGTGGGTTCACGCTGCAGGTCATGCTGAGCTTCGTTCTGATGCTGGAGGCTGTCATACACACGATCCTCTGTGACACGTCCATACGTGACCAGACCGTGGCGGGGTACCAGGTTTTTATGGCCCTCGCCCTCGTGTACTGCTGGATGGCATCCATCAGACTGTTATTTTACGAGAGAAGACAGATGCTGCCCTCTATACCCACGAGAGGTCACGGCCTCATCCTGCTGGTCTTCTGGAGCCTCGTTTTCATCAAGGAGAACCTGTCCTTTATATCCTGGGAGAGTGCAAGTTACTGGTGGTCATTGAGAGGGTTAGTTCTGACAAATAAAATCTTTCTTAAAGAACTATATGCGGTATATTGCATATGTTTGCCCCCACAAAAGTCAAATTTTGAAAACTTCCTGAAATGTGCTGAATTCAATAAATTGTACGAGAAATATAAGTTAACAAAAAATATTATAGTTCCAGAGCAGTGTATTCACAATTTCTGTTTTTAATGACGTCAAAAACTAGTCCGATTTTATATCCTTTTTCAGAAAGAGGACAAAATGGACAAAATTTCAACAATTTAAGCTTTAAAATTTATAGAGCGCATGTGTGTTCAGGAACAATATTGACATATTTCATTGATATTATCATTCTACACATTATATCAATATATTTATCCTGAACACACATGCGCTCGGTGACTTTTATTTAAAATATCGACGAAATATGTACATTTTTCTGCAAAATTCATAAAAAACTGAAATTTATGTCATATTTGTGACGTCATTACGTACATATGACGTTATTACTTATGAAATTATTCAGTGCTTTGAAGTCAGCATATACTCCCCTGTTTAAGGACTTAATTAAATATTACTCCATCAAAGTTTGATTTTGGGGGGCAAATGTTGGTTAATAACCGCATATAGTTCTTTGGTGATATTTAGATTAAAAATATTATTAAGTTTTCTCAACTACTTTTAAAATATCTTAACAGTACAGAAAAATAGCAGTACGAAGGTAGAGGTGTAGATCATTAATTTGAATTAATAATATTCTGTATGATCAAAAGATTTTCTACTTTAATTTTTGCAAAACTGAATATGAACATCTGTTTGGTTGTTGCATTAAAAAATGAGCGACTTTAAATTACCATTTAAATTTTAGTATCCATTTCACCTGTAAATTTCTGAAAATAGAAATGGAATTTCTTACAAATTTTCCTGATTGTCCCTATGACAGATACTCGGATCACATAGAGTTCGGCCTGTGGATTGTCAGATACAGCTGTTCTCTCATGCTGCTGATTCTGGGATTTTGGGCTCCTGGTCTGAATAGAAACCTGTACCATCTCCTGACTGATGTAGAAAATGTAAGTAAAGTAAACTGATCTCAAAGTAATAAGAAGTCAGAGGAGAAGAGATGTAGAAAATGTTAGGACAGTAAACAAACCTCAAGGTAATAACATTTCAGAGAGAGAGACTTGATTCAGTGCTACATGTATTTCTATTATAATTCACATTGGTATCAGTGAATCCCATCCTAGTAGTTTCATGTGTAAGGAACTTTACTTTCACTTTATTTTCACTTCACTTTCACTTTACTTTACTTTCACTACAGGGCCCTACTCCTGGGGCAGCACAGAACCAGTCTACGTGGAAGAATGTGTGGTCGAAGCTTAAGATAATGATTCCCTTCGTGTGGCCCAAGGGAAGCTACTGGAGGCAGGGGCTGGTCCTTCTCTGTCTGCTTATACTGGGGGCAGGGAGGGGGATAAATGTACTGGTACCCCTCTACAGCAAATACATCAGTAAGTTAACGTCTGCTTCTTCTGGGGACAGGGAGGGGGATAAATGTACATTTGAACATTATTATGACTGTTTAAACAGTACAATTGTTTCATCTGTACTCCACTGATTCCATAGAATTTGACCAGATAAGACATGATAAGATAATATCTGATATGGACAACATTTCATTAATAACATGAATTGAATTTACAGAAAGGAGCTTTAATAAAGTTTCCATCTTAATCATGTTAATGGACAACATTTTGGATGAGACAAAATATACTGCATTTTATAAGATCTTAAATTATAAAGATGTTTAAAAATTTAAAAAAAATTATGAAAAGAATTGGTACATTAAAAACATATTATGAATGTAATTTCTGTCTTTATATGGTTATTTAGTGCATATTTTTCTTATCTGCAGTAAACAGTCTAACTGTCCAACCTAACACACTTGGAGATGACCTTGCAGATCTGAAGGTCACAGGGCCAGAGTTTAGATACGATTATATCCTGATTTATTGTTTACTTATCTTCCTCAAAGGAGGAGGGACAGGTAATAAGTTACATTTACATGACTGTGTTTCTTTTTAATATAATCAGTAAACATATATGGTAAGAATATTGGATAAATGCAAAGCCTTGTTGACTTTTTACAAACGTACAACAGAGTTTACTGAATTGCATAACATAGATATACATGTATACTGTCTTGATCTTAAATATAGTGTAGTACAGTAAAATTTGTCCAATCCGGACTCTGAGTACTCCAGATTTTTGTCCATTCCGTCTATTAATTTTAGTCCCATGCACTTCTTTAACAAATTCATTAGAAAAAATTCTGTGTAGTCCGGATACTGTCTATTCTGTATTCCGAACGGACATACTGGTCCCAACTGCTCATAATTAACGGTAATCATTCCCTCTAATCTGGCCACACCTGAGTTACTTCAAAGCAATTAATACCTTTCGTGGTGGATGCGATAATCCATGTTTACATTAACATAATTAATGCCATGAGAGGAACTCATTGAAATGCCCACTTGAAAAAATGTTATATGATTAAATTACAATTAAAAAAAATTAACTTTGTTTTAAACTCCTTTTACCACATTATAACATCAACACAAAAAATATATGCACACGATTTACAAATCAAAATATAAATCTGAATCGAAAATCGAACGCATTTCAAAATGGCGCCGTAACTCTGTGGTGGAAGACGTAATTTTAATTTTTATACATAAAAATTAAAAGTTGAATCCAATAATTAGCACATCGTAAATAATTGTGCATTACTGTTTATACATTGAAAGAGCTTTTTGACAAGCGAAACCCGGTCAGCTTGATATATTAAAGTAGGCCTATATTGTGCGTGCTTGTAGATTTTGATTTAAGTAACATTTCACCCGACTTTCAAACCTCGTGAATAAACAAGAAAATAAAGTAAGTCATGGGAGACTATTTGATAATTTCTAGACTCCAAAATAGTGATTAATTTCATCATTTATTAAATATATTTTATATTATGTATACTTGTAAATAAACATTGAAATTTTCAAAATTAATATTTTCGTGCATTTTTCCTGCACTCCGGATTCTGTCTAAACCGGCCAAATTTTATGGAACCGGCGGTAGCCGGTTTGGACAAGTTATCTGTACTTTGATATCTGGATCATTGATATCTTGACTACCATGCATCTTATATACGTGTCAAATTCATTTTGAATTCCCAAGCACTCTTCTTAAAAATTAAACTCTCAATAACTTGGATTCCTGGATCTGTCTCGTTTTTTTTCTGTCCCTTTTAGTTTAAGATAGGGAGGTCTGACTGTATTTTGTATATTTGAGTTAAACTGTATTTGTAAAATGTGTACTGTCTTCATCTGAAATAATATGTTTCTACAGGTTGAAATTTGTGGTATCTCTTAAGGTTATTTCTGGTTTTTGAAGGAACCACAGGATTTTTAAACAATGCCAGGTCGTTCCTATGGATACCAGTTCAACAGTACACTACCAGAAGGATCCAAGTTCGATTGTTCAATCATTTACACAGGTATTGTTATATTGTCATTACAGGTATTGTAATATTGCCCTGTCTTACAGGTATTGTAATATTGCCTGAAATTACAGGACTGGTATTGAATATTGTCTCAAATTACAGTTATTGTAATATTGCCTGGAGTTACACTCTCATCAGAGATTGTTACAGTAATTGCCCTGGGATAACTCAAAACTATAAAATGTTAATGTATAATGCTTCTCCTGTTTTACTAGATTGTCTCTGAGATGGCATCTTCAAAGAAAGACAGGTGAAGTGTTACGAGTGATGGACCGCGGTACTAATAGTATCAACAACCTACTCAGGTGAGTGATGGACCACGGTACTAATAGTATCAACAACCTACTCAGGTGAGTGATGGACCGTGGTACTAATAGTATCAACAACCTGCTCAGGTGAGTGATGGACCACGGTACTAATAGTATCAACAACCTGCTCAGGTGAGTGATGAGGTACCAATAGTATCAACAACCTACTCAGGTGAGTGATGGACCAGGGTACTAATAGTATCAACAACCTGCTCAGGTGAGTGATGGATCACGGTACTAATAGTATCATCGGAACAGAAGTTTTTAGCATTTGTCTTGTTTAACTGGTAATTCAGATATACAGACTCTTCACATATCCGGACAAATTGACTAGGAACTAAAGCATCTAGATAAATAAGGCTCCACTTTACATAATTTTTCATAAATTTTAAAGCAGTGTTGTAACTATAGCTAGGTAGGACAATGTAAGACATGTATTTAAGAAATAAGCTATCATTTTTAGAGTGTCATTGGGATATGACATGAAGTCGGTCACGTGATCGAATTCTATAACACCCGAATAGTAGATTTGATCATGTACCGACTTCATGTCATTTCCCATTGACACTCTGACACTCTAAAAATGATATCTTATTTCTTATTTTTTTATTTTTATTCACATTACAAAGACAAAATACTCTATTTAGACTTTGTTATTGAATGCAACATAACATATATATATATACGATGTCATATGACGTCACGGTCAAGACTTTCCAAATGTCTCGTGCAGTTTGCTTTCCATACACAAGAAAGTCTGATCATGTGACCGACTGTATGTCATCGAAAATTGAATTTCATTTTTTTAGTATTGTCATTTAAGGAAAGAAATACATTCTACAGCCTTTTCAAAAATAAAAATACATGTACTTTTATATGCTTTAGGATTTTTTTTACAATTTGAATTTTTGTTAGGTTCAGCATCATTTTACCTTCATCGATGCAGACTGTGTAGTAATGAAGCAACAGGAATTAATCAACAGAATTATATTATTACTGAGTTAACAAACTATAAAATGACTTTAATTTTTTCCTACACAGTTATGTGGTGTTCCAGATCTTGCCTACCATCGTCGACATTGTTATCGCTATCGTCTATTTTGTCACCGTTTTCAACTACATCTTCGGGCTTGTTGTCTTTCTCTGCATGGTTCTATATTTAGGTCAGCATTAACTTACTTTTTACAAAAATTATTTTGTTTTGATAATGCAGTAATTGATATCTGTTAAGTCCATATATTTATGACTGAATATCATGCCATCATACATTTATGGTTCAAACATTGCAATGCCATTTTCCCCTTAGTTTCCATTGACAGGTAAAAATATTTTGTTAAAGCAACTTTTTATTTCCATGTGCTTCAGCACTGAAACTGCTGCCTTTTAGAGACTAGAAATACATGATAACAAAAGAGGCATGCATATGAATGATAATGCATGATGAAATGCTATAGCTTGATAAAGTCATACATTTTCTTGAAAGCAAAAAAATTCAGATTGCATTGATATCAAACAGGTCTGTTTGTCAGAAGTTGATCATTAATTAGTTAATTATCTATTTTTTACCTCAGCTGTGACTATCTGGATCACGGAGTGGAGAACTAAATATAGACGTGAGATGAACAAACTGGACAACGAGAAAAACTCCAAGGCCGTGGACTCTCTCCTCAACTTTGAAACGGTAAATAAAAAAAAAAATTTAAAATAAAGGAGAAGAAAAAATCTTTTTTAAATCATATGTATATGCTTTATACATATATTGTGTATCCTGAAAATTTTGTGTGTTTCCTAATAATTAAGAAATAATTATTAATTGAATAAAATGAATTCATAAGTTTTTTTTAAGCTTTCCTAAGCCGGCTAGCTGAAGTGATCTTAAGAAGAAGATTTTTTTATTATTTTATGTAATTCAAAGTAATCTTTCAGGATATAATTTTTATGTACAAAAATGATTGTCATAAGGCACATGTATGTCCAACATTTATACATGTACTGCCCAAATGTGTATCTCTATAGGTCATTTTGTGTTGTACCTTATTGCTATCTGTGATCATTTACACTGTGCTTTCAATTCTAGGTGAAATATTATGGTGCATCAGAATTTGAGACAAACAGATTTGATACAGCTATTAAAGATTATCAGGTATATTTTTATTAATAAAATGTACATGTGTATGCTACAACATTTTTTTTTAAAAATCCCCTCTCATTCTTTTAACTCAGAAATACAACAGCTCCTTTGTTGTGGTACTAATAATCAATAATTTTTATTAAGCTTAATGTCTTTCTATTTTTGTTTTCATTGAATATTTTTTTCTATAAGACACGTGTATGACTTTATGGTAATTATTAATTACAGTAACTATTGTATTTAAATTTACATCACCACTTGGACTGGAAAAATTGCGCACATTTAAAAATTGTGTGTTGACATAAATAGGTATATTTAGCTTGACATTCACATTTGGTGTTTGATGCAGTTCTGATGAAATTCTATTTTTAGGTTGCGGAGTGGAAATCGACGGCCTCGCTGAACCTCCTGAACTCTCTCCAGAACACGGTGATTACGTTTGGGACGATCAGCGGCTCCCTGTTGTGTGCATACGCTGTGGTGTACTCCATCAGTGACCTTCACCTCACGGTCGGGGACTATGTTCTGTTTGGGACATACCTAAGTCAGCTATATGGACCACTCAACTGGCTAGGGACGTATTACAGGTAAATAGGAGCTCAGT